GACACCACAGAAACCAAGCTTGGGCTACCTGTGATCCAGTCAATAATTCTAATAATCTCGATTTTCACACTTTTTGCAGGAGAAAGTGAGGATTCATCAAGAGGCGAGCCATTTTCATCAAATGCTGGTTTGGAAGGCCTGCTGTATTGAAGATATCCAAAAAATATAATTAAAGTATTCCAGACAAATCAGTAAGAGTATCATAAATAACTATAGGATAAAAATACCAAGTCATACGCCATCTTGTATCAGGTTAAGGTCTTGTAAACTCACATCCAGCTGATCTGAGATCGTAACTTAGAAATGACGTCACTGCAAACTGAGGTGTCATGGAGCCTGTGAAAAATAACCAACGAAAAATAAAAATGTGTTCCCCATTGCAATATAAATATAAAACTCATTATTTATTGTGTTACTGTCATCAACCTCTTATTAGCAATTTCATTATTTTTCATTTGGTAGCCTGGAAATCCATAATTTCAAGAGAAAATTGACACCTTAGTTTTGAAAATGTTCTCTATTCTGATTGGCCAATATTTTCTCTCAGAATAGCAGGATGTAAAGTGCTGCCCTTTCCATCCCCTTCACCTCGGTTGGGACATCTCAGGTACAGGTAGAGAAATACTTATTACTTATCCAACGATGAAGAAAGGTTTTATTCAGCATGTGCGCTGTCCATGTGGGACGCAGCCTTTTGGATCTTGATTGATGCAATTTAATTTAACCCGAGTCTGCTCATCGTTGAAGAGGGATCTGATCCAAAGTATTGCGGCTATACTTTTATTGTATTATCGATAGCCCTTGCTATTAATCTTTTAAAATACCTGTTTAATCTTTTTAATATTCTAGAATGTTGTTACATAGATTATAATTATTTAATTTAGGAAAATAATTTCCGGATCCCATTTCAAAGCATTTTATCGCCGTAACAAAATATTTTTCTAAGGCTGTTGAGAAGCGTATGGATATTTTTAAGGGGTTTTATAAGAGAATTGTTCTGTAGCTTTGAAACTTGATTGTTGTGTATTCTTGTAGCTATGTTGTAATTTGGCTTGAAATGGTTTTCATATTAGAGGATTGAAGGTTAATTTGGTGTCATAATTGGTGACTTTAGAAACGAGTTGAGGACTGGGAACGAGTTTTAAGAATCAACCTAGTTAAAAAATAAACACCATAACAAGGAAAGAGTACGTCGAAATTAGTAAATTTCAGGAGTTTCAAGATTTTGGGTTCATACCTTTTGTGCAGCAACCTCCCAAACATTTCAAAAATGACAAAGAAATGTATGGTTACTGGGGACGCTTGTCCCTAGTCAACATACATTTTTTCGTAATTTTTGAGATGTTTGGAATTGCTTATAACTTAGCTGTTACTTAGCTAATCGAAGCCAAACTGCAGAAACCCGTTAATTTTGATGTGCTCTTTCTCGTGATGGAAATAATTTGTTTTGAATAAGATTATTTATCAATACCTCCTATGTACTCGTTCCCAGTCCTTCACTCGTTTCTAAATGATTATGGTTTGGAGAGATACAACGGAAACCATGTTGGATGAATAGACCCTTTTCGAGTTCCAAATTACCGCTTTGTTTCTTGATTATAGACTCATTTACTCAGGCTTAGCCTCCATTTTGGGAAGAATATTCACGTGTTCCAGCCAAGGTCCGTCAAGTTTCAAAATGTTCGTATTGTTGAAGTTGTGCATTCTTTACTTTGCCGTTGGTATTTGCGAGTAATTAGACACTGATTCGAGGCTAAGCCTGAGTAAATGAGTCTGTAATCAAGAAACACAGCGGTAATATGGAACTTGAAACTGGACTATTATCACGTTCCCTCCTGTAAAACCAATATGGCTGCCATCTTCTGTTGTTAAATGACTGCGTTTGTTGCGATCACTCTAGTAGATATTTATCAAGCCAAAAAATAATAATTGACTGTCTGCCTGACAACTACCTTCCCCTAAAAACAGCTGTTGAGAAGGCTATAACTGTCTGTCTGTGTGTCTGTCTTTCAATCCATCTTTCTGACGAACCTGTCTGTCTGCCTCCTTTCTCTTTGAAAATACCCAATATACTTGGTAAAGGACAAAATGTCGTATAACATGAAGTAACAACTAAAACCATTAGCAAGTCAGTAGGATAAAGAATCGTTATTGTTATCATAGATCCAAGTCCAATATTACTATCTAGTCGTAAGTTTAGTATATACAGTACAAAGGATCATGGGGATAATTAATTCACAGTTACTAGCTGCCGCATACATGTTATCTAACACGTCTTGAGCTCGCTTTTTTCTATCCCATTTCATTTGCTGAAACCATGCCTCGAGCATACGGCGAAGATTTAAACTGGTGAGCAGTTTGGATGACGCAAGTTCTGGGTAATTTACCCGTTATCCTTTTCGGTCTAGGCGCGTAGGGATGAAGCCGATCAAACGACAACGTTTGATCAAAGTACTGTATAAATACTGGCAACGACCGCAGACCCAAACTTCCTGACTTTGTTAAACTCATTCTAATCTATAATTTGAATACTATATGAATTTGAAATGTTATGATAATTAAGAGGCCTACATTTGCACTACCTTATTACATGAATTTGTCGCGATTTCACAATTCGCATATATCTAGACACTGTAATATTGCGACGTCATTTGCAGGGGAAAATAATATTGTAAGACCAATGTAAGACAATAATATTGTAAGACAAACTTCGGACTTCACACAAGCCATGCGTGAAGCCATGTCATTAATTTCGGCTCGTTTAAGACCTAATACCAGTTTAAACATCGAATTTCACATGTGCCGAATCTAGCTATTATAATATCATTTCAGATTTGGTATGTGAAATTCGGCGTTTCAACTGGACCTAAAGTCCGAAGTTGGACTTTGATCTAAGTCACTCATATCTAGCGATTTTTAGTCATTGAATAAATCAATTATAATTCGTTTCCAAACACAAACTTTCTTGAACAAAACGCCCTTAAAGCGTACACTAGGACTTATTAGAATTTAAACACTTTTAAGGCTATTGACTCATAGGCAATGAGGGCAAAGAGGGCTAATTGCTTTAGTCAAATCTAACTAGTCGAATAATTATTTAGATTCAAACAAGTTTTGAAGTTAAATTATTATTATTATATTTTGGCGGTACTTTGCGCTACTTGTATAGGCTATAACTTATAGCCTACTAGTAGCTCATCCAATCAGAATGCAGTATTGATGATAGACTGCTAGTTGGATTTGACTAATAAATGTTACTTATTACCTAAAACTAACATCGAAAACAGTAGTATAGGGAATGGGGGTTCCAGCGCAATCTCAACACGGGCAAGACCCGCGCCAAAAATCCACCTATGGACAATCCCCACTCCAAGTGTGGTTGGGGGCAACAGCGCAAATATGTTAGTCTATATATGGAGTGCGAAGA